GCATGACTGTGCGGGTTCGTAGTATCCTGTTCGACTCGATGGAGGTTCATCTTGACGTCCCTCAAGGCTCGGTACTAGGACCACGGCTATTCTTACTCTGCACAAACGACATCGCCGTAGTGTTGACGTCGAACGTTCTGCTCTTTACTGACTCCCATAATGTTTGGCGGGCAATCAAGAGGGTAGAAGATAAGATAGTTCTGCAAAGCGATCTGAAGAAAACCTACGAGTGCTCGGCTAGGAACACGCTTGTGTTCATCCAACCAAGTGCAAAATAATTGGTATACACCACCACAGCATCTACGAATATCGCCTAAGATGGCACGTTTTGCATCGTGCTTCTCATGAAAGTAGTTTTGTGGTGCTCGTGTAGGGCTATCTCGGATGCTCAAGGTAATCGGAGAAAGCAGTGAAATTTCCAGCCGACAGTGTTGAGAAGAACAACACTGAACCATCTCCAATCCAATCAACACTTAGGCCTGCTGATGAGAGTATTTAGCCTATTTGGTCCTATCATTTTTTGCAAATGCTAAACGATTACGTGAGACCACACCTGGTATTCGCCGCGCTCGGAAAAAAGTAGGCTTCATTGCTTTTCAGAATCCACAATGGCGGGTGACGTAATGTCAAGGGCTTGCTCCACCACGTTCAATAGTTGAGGCTATAAACCCTAAGAGTTTTTAGGGAGAAATGTCGTCTTATGTGAGGTGATCTCAAATTTGTGTGTCAGATCCTCACGGATCCTAACCACCTCTGCGGACTCTAATTGAAACTTAGCCACAGTATCCCACTGACTGGCCACCGCTTGAAGCTGGCAACACAATACAGCCGATTAGAATGCCGCCGGAACTTCCTCTCGTTTCGTGTATTCCAGCCGTGGAACTTACTTCTGCATTTTGTCATATCCGCCAGTATGTTGTCCGAATTCAGAACTCTACTTGATGATGCATTACACCCGCTGCATTGCATGATTTAACCCAAGTTACTGGGACACGCAACAACGTAAGCAAACAATGTGTTCACATGAAATTTGCGGCAAATCCACGGTTACATTTTGGTTTTGCTACATCTATTTGCGATCTCGCCATTTATATCCGTGATAAATTCATTTTTCATTGCTGTCTGGGTTAGAGTGTGGGCCCATTCGGTGGATGAAACGTGGCTCGCATCCGCATGCCTCCCGGTCTTATTCCTCCTGGTTTACATTGGATATGGGGTGTGTAGATGGAATTCTAGGTGGTGCGGCGCAAATCACCTGCGGTCCCTCAGTAGGCGCAAGCGTCCTGTGGCGGCCCCCGTGTAGGCTGCAGCGACAGACAAAACGTGAACCGCATATCACCAGCCGTGAGGAGTTGGCGAGGCCGAAACAATAAGTTAATGAAACCATACACACATGCACATTTCAGTTCGTCTGCAGTTCAAACCTACAGAACCACAGGCAAAAAGGTGTCCTACACACGAAGGCTGGAGTCAAGCCGTTTAATCATCGCGGTTTCAGTGTCCCATAAACTTGAAGGTTAGCTGACGCGTACATTCCGGTGCGTCTATGTGTATTCACTAATTTTTAGAGTCTCTTTTACAACTAGTTTTTCGCAACAATTCGACCTTGTTGGCAATTAGTGTGGTGTTACTGACGACGGCGAATATTCCGGCGATATGTGCGCGGAAACAACTGATGACCGTTTACAATGGAGTTAGAGGTAGAAAACGTGCTCCCATTCTTGAATGTGTTGGTGACCAGAACAAAGGATGGTGAATTTCAACCGTTCGTTCACAGGAAAGGGACACATACGGAGCAAATTTCGAACTTCTGTAGCAACCACCCAAAATGCCATAAAATAAGTTGCGTGTGAACACTATTTCCTAGGATTGAAACAAACTGCAGTACAGTGGAATCCAAACGAGAAGAGAAACATCTATTCGATTCGTTCGAGCACAATGGATACCCACGCAGCTTCATCCGCAGATGTCTAAACCACAAACCTATGAACACCGAGCGGAGACCAAATGCCAGCAAGAGGGTCGTTTTGCCGTATATGAATAACATCTCTGAAATGACTGCTAGATTGCTCAAACAACACCGCATCGTGGTCGCTCATAAGCCAACCGCTACTTTGAGAAGAATACTGTCAAACCCAAAGGACATTCGGAATGCACAAGAACGAACAAACGTCGTGTATAAAATAAATTGCAATAATTGTGAAATGAACTATGTGGGACAGACAGGAAGGAAACTATCCACAAGAATACAAGAACATCAGAGGGCTTGTAAAAAACATTATGCGTCGTCTCTTGTCTCGGCGCATGTGGGTGAGGAGCAACATAGCTTCAATTGGAACAAAACGGTGATTTTAGCTCAAACCACAACACAGAAAGGAAGAGAATTCCTAGAAGCATGGTACTCCTCTAATAATTCGATCAACATGCGCATCGACATCGACCCCGTGTACCATCAGCTCAGAAAGAAAGATCTCCGGCGAATCGAAAGACATGGTTCAGCCGCGGAAGCAAATGGGCAGAGATCACGTGGCGCAAATCGAAATTGCCACCTTCAAAAGTCACCTGCCCGTGGATGACGGAGTGACGATTCAATAAGCAGGATTATACACTGCCACCTCACATGGCGATGAAACGTATGCGATCCCTTTATCAAGCTCGGAAAAACGATCAACAGGTGAGCAACCAAGTCGGGCTACCAGTGTTCCACATTATTCCCAGCTGATGCTCGTATTATGTAATATGCACCAACTGTCATGAAAGCTTCTGTGTCGCTGACTCGAGCACAACTGTGTATATTTTCCGTGCACGCATTGCCTTTGCGATTGATAAGGGCTATTGAAAGGTTAACCCATCGCATCTTTTGTCTTCTGACTGCGTTTAGGGTACACTCCGTGTTGTCACCTACGTAGCATTAAAATGGCCAGAAATGGTTGACTTAAGAGCCAGAAGATGCTCTCAATGGAATCACATGTAGTGGGATGACCTGTGACGACGACCCTAGGATTACGACAACCGGGAGTTGAAAACAAATTGCCTTTAATTACGAAGAAGTGGTCGTATCCGGTTTGCCACTGTGATCCGTTAAAAGGTAGATTCACTGGGCATTGTAAAAGTTGCTTTCGCAGATAAGTAGAGGTGAGTCCTGTCCGAAGCAAATGTCGATCACAGTGACGCTTCTCGCCCAGGTGAAACCAATTAACGTGTATAAGGTGGACATGGTACTAACCCCTTTGACAGAATTCACAAACTGGCTCCGGTTACCAACATGTACTCCCAAGCCATTGCGACTGACTGTGGGCCTCGGAAGAAAACAAGTTCAGTCCCATCGTACTTACTATGGTTGAGGTGCAGTGGGCCCAGTTGTCATGACCTAGGTACCCAGTGTTGTGTCGGAGCCCCGCAACTACTTCAACCCACTAAGGGTAGTAAAAACACCAACGACCGGGTAGAAAACAGTGTTACACGCTGCACGCCAAACCGGCCACCAAGCGTCTGTGTGTGCAACTCAGTCACATGATTCAAATTATGGCACATACACAGGCTATGCGGAAAGGCTGACAATCGATTAATCAAATCCAGTCATTTCAGAGGCGAAGGATCGATACGGTGTCTCACGAACGAGCGAAATGTGCAGAGTAAGGGAAAAGGCATTAAGCATGAGATTCAGCGTCAACCCAAGCTAGTCACAAATGTGAGGTAACAGAAAACGTATGCGGGGAACCGTAAAAGAGGACGGTATGAATAAGAGTGAGTGGGGCAAACTCATAAAACAACGGAGAGTGGTGAAGTTTCCTTACCACCGCTATAACACCCAGAGTAACAACCATCGGGACAAGTGAAAGAAACAGAAAGTTGACAAAAAGGGAGGCAAGAGGAAGAACTTACAATCACCAGATAACAAAGCCAAACTATCTGTTGACGCGCCTCACTTCCCCGGACAAATCACAACAATACCGTTAGCATTAGGTGAATCTAGGCTTCACACGGCCGGCCACCACGCAGAGTACAGAGGAGGGTGGAATCGAGAACTTGATATCCATTCGGATAAAAACTGTGTGAAGGTTCTGAGGAGGTGGGAAGTAAGTTGTTGTTCCTTCCCAAAAGTTGCATCGGCATGAAATCCGTCTATATTACTAGTCAGTGGCTAGATGTAGAATGGCCAATAATGGCCTCATGAATAAGACTGTGGTCTCAAAGGACTGACCATGCCAGTGACGTGCGTATATCTTGTGATACGCCAAATAGCTGTCGCTTTGCATCGGAGATTGTCCAAATGGTAACAATATTTGAGAACAGCGCGTCAGTCTATTTTACAAGGCCCAGTATTCCTGATAAAGGCGTTGAAACTTCAACACAATGGCGTGGGATGAAAACCACACGACCACTCACTAATTCGCTGATCATTTTTAATATTCCGTCGACATATAAACACAATATCTATGCCATCTAACCTGACACACCAGAGGAACAGTCTCTCTGAAATGAGCATTATACATTGCGCTCTTTCTATGGGGAGGATAAGTTCCCTGGAACAGTATGGATAAACTTCGGCTGATATAGTTGCTCTTCTCTGTGAGAAATCATTCTGAAAACAAACATATTGCTACTCTGTTCTGGTGTGTCGACTTTGTACAGCCTTCTAAACCGATGAAATGCTAGGCAAATCGTGTGGAACCGTCCACCAGGTTAACAGAGTCTCAATGGTCCGCCTGTCAAAGATAAAGGTTAGGGGATTGGAATGGACTGGATTTCAACCTGGCTATAAATGTGAGCAGCATGCATTGCTAGTCTGTGTCCTAGTTTAACGTACTGTGAGGTGATCTGGACCTGCCTTCATAGGTGCTCAAAGGTGCAGAACACCAGTCAAAGGAACGGTTCACCGCAAATGTGAGGTAAGGTTGATGAGTAGATTGTCAGGCGCAGCTCGCAGGTTGGGTCATTCCACAAAAAGAAATATAATTCTTCAGAAAACATAAATCAATCTACCAGAGCGAACTTACAGATGGCATAATTATGAATTGGCAAGCGAATCCGATAGCGGGACCGATAGGACGACGAAAGTAGGACTTTAGCAATGCGGCATCCAGCTCACAGCCCATAGTGAACGTGAACAAGGTAACCATTAAAATGATAGTGATACGAAACAACAGCTGTGTTACTCCCTGATCACGAAGTACGACCAAAGGAAAACCAAGGGTCCGAACTATAGCTTCGTCAGGAGCGTACGTCGAGTTGACATATCGAACATCTAAGGCACCATAAGTTGCGTTCAAAGACCCGTAGATGGTTTCATTTAAGCCGAGCGCAACACCTCGGTGAATCCAGAGACGCAGGTAAGACAATCCCATTTGTTTTGTCCTTACACGGACAGGGGTGATAACGAGTAAACTTTCTGTGCTCGGTAACCAGTGCCAGGAGGGATCAACTAATTCCACGGCGCTCGAAGAATCGACGTCGTAATGCAGCAGTAGGGGATGAGAGCTGTTGTAGACCAGGGTGCAATTGATAAGCCGCGTTCCAGTGCTGTCATGCAAGTATAACTCATTCTTTGCGATCCGTGCACATATAGAAACATCTTTGGTGGTGCTCGAAGCTCGTTGTTCGTAGTACGTAACATCCTCAGTGTACTCGACCAGAGTGCGTTCGAAATCGCTTCTCTGCCTCAAAACCTCTTCGCGTTCCAAACCAATCTCAATGGCCCGCGCAACTACGTCACCGCTTACGCGACCATACAGTTGGGCGACAGCAAGGAGTAAAGCTGCTAATAGTGCACGAAAGGACGACATAACAACGTCTGTGAATGTCGAGCCAGTTGCATCCGTTTCAGGCCACATGGCCGGGCTGTCATAGGACTGTGTGTCAATTTGTCTACCTTCGCCGTGTACAATCACACACTAGCCAATGAGCTAAAAGCCGACAACATTTCATTGGTTATCGATCCATGTCCGCCTTATTGGATGGGCGGAGATCAGACCACGTGGGCCTCGGTGGGAACCTCGACGTGTGGTGGCAGTGCCTCGTATCACGCTTTAGCCAGACAGTAACAGGCATTAACTTTTCATCCTTAGTCATCAATTCTTCAGAATGTACACTTGATACAATTCCGTTATCGTAGGCCAGCGTCTAGGTTTAGGTTATCTTGATCGAGGTGGTTTTCTACGGTGGCACTCGAATTCAACTGCCCAACTGTCCTACAGTCGTTGTTGCATTTGTCTGCGGAAACAAAATTTATCACTATGACTTCGCTTCCGTTATATTTGTTTACTACAGATATTGTATCCCTATCCATTTTGTCTAATCACACTTGCATGCCAGATCCTTGTGGTCTTTATGCTGTATGCTTAATCGGAGTAAGCGTATTCCACTTCGTGCTAGTCACCATTCACCACTCCTATGTTGGTTGTATAACCTAACTGGTACTTTCAATTTTTCGCGCACACGATGGGACCGCAATTGGTGCTTGGTTGTTTTGTTCGACGTTATTCCTGTGTGTCATGCCGAATGTGACTACCCACGATGCGCGTATTTACAGGATGCACAACAGCCCGGCACGATCTTCTGGACCAAGCGATCCACGATACTGCTACGGAATGCTGTTGGAGACCTATCGCACATTCGCGTGAGTGTACTTGCCTTAAGGTTAGCTTCGATACAGATACACCATTCGCGCTCATTTATCTTGCCTACATGCGTGCTTACACTTGGTTTTATTTTACACTGAAGTAATTTATCAACACATTCATCTCGGTCAACGCTGAGTTTATGACTCACATATATTGTGATTTCATCATATTCACCCAAACCATCTTACGGGACATGTCAAGCACTTGCTTTTATCCTGTGATAAATCATTGTTAGCAGGTGCCTGGCCTCTAGCAAGCCCACATAAGACAACTGCTAACAAAGTGTGCGTCATGCTGTACACTGCAACTATGCCCTTTGAGTTTTCTCAAGTCTGTGGAATGCATTCTCAGTGTCACTAATCTGCTGGTGCTTTGCGCGTTGGTAGAGTATGTGCGGGACGCTGGTTCATGTGATGTCGGAGTAGTCAAGAGAAACCTGTCCGTTTCACCACTGTGCACGTGAATACTTTAAAAATATTTGCATTTGCGGCCGCAAATTCATGATGAAATAGACACCACCACCTACTATTAGTGTTACTGTTACCAGCAGTTTAACTACCATCGCTCCTTGAATGCGGCTGAAAAATTCCTGGTTTGTGTAGTTCGTAGTGAAATATGGAGCTTCCCTAGAGTTACTTTATTTCAACATGCCTGCACACGCGCGTCAGATAATGGGCGTTGACCTCCTCATTGGTAAGTGCCGGTAAAGTTGCGATCATATCCTAGTCCTCTTGTTAATCTCTCATCACGTGGCACATGGACTCTTTTTCGCTTGTGGTTAGTCAGTGCGATAAGACAGCCTGATGGCTGTCAAGATTCATAAGTCTCGGCACCCAGTCTGGTGCAATTCGACACGTTTTTCATGGCCTTGGTGCATGTATATAAAATAGACTATCCAGAAGGGAATAACTTATAGTGTGCAATCTCCGTGGTGACTGCAATTTGTAAATTCAGTGTGACTACATTGGTTACACGTTGGCAGTTCTTAAAGCACAACGTCACCTTGCTTCTACAGTAAACCAGGCCGGTTGTCGGCTCAAATTCCGGTGGAAAGAACATTTGACACCGATGTTTCCTTACTGTTGCTTGGAGTTATCAGCCCACATGAGTTCGCCTAGTATACATTCGGAGAGTGTAGAAAGTAGCCACCCAAGTAAGTGAGTAGACCGTTCCTGATCTGTGATATAGTAATCAAGCAACTACATGTGGACACAGCTGTCAGAGTGCATCATCTGCCACAAGCACTTGTAAAGCCGTAGGCCCGGACTCAGCATCTAGGGCAAAGTGCCCACAATGAATTATACTAGAGGCATTTCCAGTTACAATCGGCTCAACCGCAAGTTTCAGGACTGCATAGGTCAGCGCACTTCTAGTTAGAAAACTTACCTTCTTAAGGCCACCAACTGGAGGTTGACCAAGATGACACACATACTTTATGTTCAGACTGACCCAGCCTTGGTACGGCTGCTCAGGCAGAGAAAAACTGGTAATGGACGCCGGCTTGTAGTGCTTATAAATCCCTTAAATCTTTCATTATAACATCCTATTCTATTTTCCGTCATTTCTTGTACATTCGGTTTAACTCATACATTCAGATAGATGCTTCTTCAAATTTCGTTCGTCCTCCTTTCGGGGCCGCTCTGCCGCTGTGACGCTATGGATTATTGTGTGTTTGCTTCGCATCGGTCGTCGGATCACTGTTCGAGGATCAGTGTTCGATTTCTGCGTTCGTGCCAACAGACAGGTTAGCTGCGTTTTCCCAATTGTTACTTGACTGTGATTAGTCGTACTAGGGTCCTAACCGCCGTAAACTTTGAGCGGTTAATACCTCTCTCAGACGCCTATAGGCTCATCTCCTTCGCAGTCAGCGAAACTGTATTCCTCTCAGCTGACATCCCAGCGTCCAGATTTCTGGTAACAGTTCTGCCACCTTTAACGGATGCGTGCAAACGAGTATTAAGTAGGCACCAGTTTGCGTCGATTTAATTGCAATGCGGTCCCAACAGCATAAAGGATAGACCTTCCGTTCAGCGTTGGACACAATCCTACTTGAAACTGCCACAAAAGGATCCTATCCAGCGATAGATCTTTACTTAATGACTACCTAATTTGTGTTCCAAAATGCATCCGATACACATGTAACAGATTGGAAACTCTGGCTCTGCTGCGGGTAATCTTCGCATCGTTCTCCTCGTTAAACCTACCGGAAGCAAAACACCTAGGTCCATTTGTACCGAGCACAAGCGGTGCGACGCAGTTTTCAAGGTCATACCCAGTATCGCACCTTAAAGAACCCAAATCACGGACAACAAATCTCAAACTGAGATTCGCTAGACAGAACCACAGTGCGTTAATTCTCATGTGCACTTACGTTCCAGAGTCCAAATCTGGCACGATAAAGGGCAATTTGCGAAATGATCGCACTGGAGCAGCCTCAACGTCTGGCATCTAAGACAGTAATTGGAATGCGCAACCTTCCATACGAGAAGAGGCTGAAATGTTTGGGAGCATTCAGCGAACAGTATCTCAGATTACGAGGCGATCTGATTATGTCATACTTGCTTCTGCGAGACCCTCATCATGTGTACCACTCCTTACTGCAACTCGGCAACAATACAAACATGTGGGGCCACTCATTAAAACTCGCAGAACAGTACAGCAGTCTACAGTGCCGCAAAAGTTTCTTTTCCATTCGTGTCTGTTGCTCGTGGAATGCTCCCGCAGAATCGGTCGTCTCTGCACCGAGGCTAGCAGTATTTAAACGACGGTAGGATGACGCAATCATCTACTTCCAATTGCCACTTTGCCCTACGTCTCCATCCTACTCCCGGAGTGTACCATGGACTTATTTGTTGTTAACTGTGGGTAATAATAAATAATGTGTCAGCTGTACGCCGTAACGGCGCATCGCTGCCGTGCGACCACCACCAGTCGCACGCGGGCTGCGTATACCGCAAGGACGCCAACCCCTACGCGGATTCTAACCGGCGCCACAAGATTACGAGACAAGCTCGTTACCACTAGGCTACGGGCTATGGGTACTTTTAGTCTAGGCGGGTTGCAGAAATACGGCGGGGCAAACCATAAATCCTTATGCCATATTTAAAATAATAAATGTTCTGACATTATTATTATTATTAGCATCATCAGTAATAGTAGTAATAGTAATATTTCGCTATCTCCAACAAATATCCTACGGGACTTGTACAGCAACACATCATCATCATCATCAGTCCACTTCAGCGGATGGTGAGAAACACACCTCAGCTAGTGTGCCGCAATACAAAAAGCTAAAAGGTACACTATAAGTTACACTGCAGAAAAGCTGATGATAAATGTCATATTATGCGTTTTGCATGAGATCGAATTTGAAGGGGGAACCTAAATGGAAGGAAATAAACAAACTCACAATACAAACGTCATTGGGGCTTGCTGTTCACCATATCAACAAGTGTGTCCAATCAAACATGTTCCTTGTCCTTAGTACCCCAGCCATGCAATCAGAATGCACCAACCGACTCCAGTTTCGTAGTGATGGTTTTCATTCCATTCGATTAACTCATCGTATGGCTTCCCATCCTCCTCTTCCAACCTCACCCTCGGCGCGCAAACGATGCACGTCGCGAGAGTCGGTGTGCTGGCATGCGCAACACGTGGCCCAGCCATGGGAGCCTGGCGAGTGATATAATGGTGCTGAGCGGTTCACTCGCTCTTCCTGCATCAAATACGCGACGCCGAACATGCTCATTGCTCACTCGGTGCTCCCACCAGACAGGTTTCACAACCACATAGGAGATTTAAACGAACTGCTACGTTATAAACGCTGCAGTTCAGGGTGAGAGTAATGTCGGGCCTGCGCCACAGGTGGTGGAGATTGGCTATAGGGTTCGTAACCTCATTTTCGATCCCATGAGCTAGTATAGCTTCCTAGGTACTGGAATTCCTGAACGACTTCACCATAAAGCGTTAGCGCAGGGGTGGTTCCCTGCCAATCTTGGAGAAGTACTTCGCATTTCGATGAAGCAAACCATAGCCCAAAACGATAGACAGCCAGTACTAATGGGTGCAGTGCTGTTTGGCATGTTTAGGACTTGTCACTGATTAAGGCGATATCATCCGCTTATTCCAAGTCAAGAAATTGCTCACTGGGAAGTAGCTTCGTGTCTAGCAAATGTACCTCCATGACTTCATCAACTGCGAATTTAAATAGGAAACG